CGAATGTGAGTAACTCATTTACATAAAATTTAAAATACACGTTGCTAGCTTTACAGGTAAGGACACCAAGTACCTTTCGTACAGAAAAGAGTACCTTTGCTAAAGGGGTATCTAAATTCATTGACATAATTTACATCATGGACCGAGTACTCTGGTAAAAGCTAGTAGCTGTAAACATAATTAAAAATGGTTGTAGCACATTTTTATGACATGATAAGATTTTCGTTCTATCAGTCTTGGACATTGTATCAATAAGCAAATCTTTCTCATTGAATCACAGTGTTTGGCATCCCTCTAGACAAGTGATAATTAAGCCATTGTCCGCCCGCGCTCAAAAATCCACTCTCTCGAACCTCTACAAGCCCTCGGGCTTATGATTTGTCCTATGGCTCTAATAGAGTCTAGAAACTGTCTTACTTAAAAAAGAAACCATGTCACATAATTTATTCAAAATATTTGACCACTATATGAGTGTATTTGATTAAACACGTAGTAATATTTACCGTACTACAAATGTTTGAAGTTTTAAATAAATAATAATAATAGTATATGTACACACCATACTACGTACAAATGCAATACGAATTTATAATAATACAAAGAGAAATAGAGTAAGTTATGAAATACAATTTCCTTTAGATACATTTTAGCTTTATGTTCATTAAATTATGGTGTATTATAGGTGTATTATCAAAATTTAGATATACATTTTCTGTTTTAGTAGGAGACAATAAGCGGATTTGTTCTATAATATAAAAAATAAAGAATGACAATATTATCAAGTTTTATTTTAAAAATTACCTATAAAGAAATACATACACAGACTCATACAGATAGAATCAGCGTAAACTGGTCGGACATGAATCGGAGACGCTTCGTTTGCATCGCCCGCTCTACTAAAAAGTCCAAAGCTTATCAAAATGATTTTAATTAAAATGTTTCTTTCCTCGTTCAATATAAGAATTTTAATAATTGTTGACGAAATATAAAATATGTTCATTATTACAATTTTATTTGTCGATTCTGCTTTTAATTTGGCGACTAACAAACATACAACAGTGTAACATTGACAGCATACAGGGTATTCAGAGCTACAAAGCCTTCAATTAGTAAAGGATTCTCTTTTCTCTCGCAATTTCGTCGATTAATGAGGCGCTGTTCTAACATGCTTACTAATGTATTATGGCAATGGCTATAGGTATATTTTAGTGTAAAGTGTGTGGTGTTTAAATATACCTACTAAATTAATTGCATTAGATAAGATATAATTCAGTCATAGAAGGTCCATACGTAACCACTTGAAAGCACGCCGCATTAAGTATCGCTGTTATATCTATCAATTCTTATATATATATATACTGAATCTCGGAAACGGCTTCAACAACTTCATGAAATTTAGTATGATACTAAGAGATAATTAAAGAACAGAAATGTTGTAAAAAGACAATTTGTTTAGTATTTGTAGTTTAAATTTCTTCCTTAAGGAAGGTTATAACTTGAGAACTTAACGCTGACGAGCAGTGTACATAAACGAATAGAAAAGCTCTTTCAATTGAAACTTTTGAATAATTAATGGAGTTGGCTATATTCAGATATTGTTTAATATTAAAGTCTAATAAATTTTGGTGAGAATCAAGTATCAAGTTTAGTTTATTTTAAAATAATTTTCAAGTAAGTTCTGCTTGATTTGACCATTATAATAATTATGTTAATGGAAATTCTCCGATATGAAAATTACTCTTTAAAGATAAAACCAACATTTCTACACATAAATTAATCAGACTCCTCCATTCTGCTTGCCATTATATGCAAAAAACGGGTTAGCTGCACCTCACCGTGTCTATTTACGACCCGAAACTAGATGATGTATGACATTACTTCCATGTACCATCACATATTATCTTGTTTAAAAAAAATCGCACTGAAGAATGTGACATTTTAAAACTTATTCTTTATAAAATGTTTTCTGCGTCATAAGCATTTTTGATACAAATGAGATTCCTTTGGACTGTACGTTAGTACACATAATTACATGATTTTACGTATTAAGCAAACTGCTAAATATTCTTATTAACTATCTGCATATTTTCTTAAAATTATATTTTATTAGTATTTCAAACTTTACACCAAGATTTTAAAATTTGTCTTGAAAACAAAGTAATCATAACAATCTACTTCGCGAATTCGAATAAACGATGTTTTGGCTTTGTTTACGTCAAGACCTTATTAGAAAACTTTTTGAAATTTCTTAGGCTGAATAAGTTTTTCAATGTGATGGCAAAATACGATTTGAATATGTAACATCTTTATTATTTTAACAAATTCGATGAACATTTCTTTTTTAAACACATCGCAATTCCTTAGTAATTTGTGTTTTTTTCTTAAACTAATTTCCTGGTCTGTTGTAAGAAATCAAAATTGATTTTGAATTCTAATATTTTATATTAATTTATATTGTGATGAAAAGCACCTATACTTTTCTACAGAATGTTAGCCATGTAGCTGTTCTTAGACCAACCAATTTAATTTAAAAACAAGTTATGACCTAGACCACTCAGTTCACTCTTTCCTCTTGAATCATGACTGCACGGATGGCGTAGTGGTTTAAGCGGTGGCTACTACTACGCTGAGTGTTGTGGGTTCGAGCCACAAATTGTTTTGAGTATTCTGTGTGTGTGTCAATTCTGAGTCTGGGTGTTCTTTGTGTCCGTTTTAATGTACGTTTGTAAAGTCCCCCGAGACACACGATATATTCCTAATAGGGGAGTTGTCTTTAAAAAAAAGAAAAGAATCACTCTATAGTTTGGTGAAAATCGTATGAAAATCGATATTCTTGAGTTTGTCGAATAGACAGATAATAAACTAACATACGCGGCGAGGGCCTTTACTTTAATGAACAGCTCCCGTGCGATTCGATTCAGATACTCATCGAAGCAACCTTCCCAATGAGCATCTGAGTCAATCGGTAGGTGACACAGTCGTTCCTCCCTACCCACGCTTCGAAGCTAGGCAGGACTATTCCGACGGTGCGTTGGTTAGCACAGCCCTGAATTTCGATCCATTCTTGCCACGACCGCAGCTCCTGCGTATACGCGTTCCGCCGTAGCATTCCGGGCTCATGATCCAGAGCGGCTTCTTCAACATTCCGATCGACAGAGCGAACTTGGTCATAGACCATCGCGACCATGTCGACCAGAATGTCGAAGGGTAGATATCGCGCCAGGTCCGTCGACTTCTAACGAGATCGTACGATAACCCCGTACAATTCGTATGGCCATCAACCGCTGCAGGCCAGGTCATTATAACAGATGGGTGCCCTATAGAGGGCAATGGATCGCACGACGCCCATGTAAAGGCGGCGAAATTCTTCCCGTGGTCCCCCGAGATCTGGCAGCAGGCGATGCAGCGCACAAGCTACCCCCCGTACTCGGGGGACCAGTCGCTCGAAGTGCTCTTCGAAGCTCCACCGACTGTCCAGAATGAGGCCCAAGTACTTCATGTACCTGGCGCTTACATAGGCCATGGAATCATATCGCCTCAGTTTTTTGAGGGGCTACCCTTAGGCCCTTACCCTTAGGCCAGAGGGTGGACTGGTGCGAAGGACCGCTTCGTATGCAAGGTTCCGCAACAAAGGGCCGAGTCCGGGGATGTTAAAAGTTATCTTGTTATCATCTTACAGTGGAATTTCTTACATGAATAATATCTTGTTGTCTTGGCATGTTAGACGTCATGTTTTACTATAGATATTCTTGGTTTATTTTTTTAAATGTATTTTGTTACCTTGAAGGTTTTATTTACCACAAAAACCTTTTTTCTTTTCAAAATTTACAGTTGCTTAGTTTTGTGACTGATGTGATTCCATAGTGTCACGGCTTACTATTCGTTGATGGTCATGATGATGAACAGAAGTCTTTGAAGCGAATTTAAAAATCAATATCTATATTCATGATCTGAACCGTAATTGCTTATTACCTGAACTATATTAAAATTATGTTTTTTAATCATTCAATATGTATACTAAATACTCCACTCAGATACATTAAGATTGGTTTTGGGTGATAATGTATTTTGGGTGGTACTTTCAAATCCTCAACCTCGAAAACTCGTCTTTACAGTTCGATATATTGAAAAGGACGCGATGAATTGAAGGATTAAATATTCCGTCTGTGTCAATATGATAAGAGCTGTGAATGGTTCAGTCTCAATCGCGAATAAATGTAAAATTAAAACAGAGGCCAACGAACCAAAGAAATGAGATTTGCCACAGACAATTGTTGACAGCTGTGCTTCATCAGGACTCTATCCTTAACCTTTATGTACCAGCTGGCGTCTGCGAAAGGTCCCTTTAACAGTTTTCACAACTCAAAACTCGGCATAATAAAACATCACAGTTAACAGTATTTCATTTATATGGAATTAAATACAGTTGTAGTCAATACAATACTCTTTGAAATTGTTTTTGTTTATACACAATATTTGAAATCTCTGTAAAATATGTTGCCTATAATGACGACAAATTTTAGATACAATAAAAAGAGATACTTTTAACCGAGTTCTAAATGGAAAAATAACAGATTTTGTAAAACGGAGTCAAGTCTGTTCTTAATTAAATTATGGTAAATTTCACTTCTGTATGCTTTGACTTAAAATTGGTATATTTAAACATACTGCGAATATAAATAGAAACATCTCTCTATGTCTGTCTTAGGACGCTAATTTTTATTTACGGGTAAATCAGGCTTCAAATATTCCTTTCGAATTATTGTACGATTACAATGGGCTTTGGCAGTTTGAGTATGTAATGAAAATTATCTTTCTTTTTCAGGTTCGGTGAAATGTGGAATTGATGTAAAATGGATGTTATTGAGTGAAAGTGTGCGCTACAAATACCAAGTATCAAATTAAATATAAAGAAGGTGATTACATTATAATATAACGAATTAAGACAAAAGTGTTAAAACTGTGATAAAGTGTGTTTGAGTGACCGAATATCCAGTATTATGGGGATGTTACCATCAAGTGGAAGCCGCATCCTTGTGGCATTCTTTGCTACTGTTTTTTGGGGAATGGGTAAGTAAAGACTAGTTTATCAATTTAAAAAATCTAATATCCAACATTTTATAAAAGTACAGCATTATAACATTTTTGTTCGCACTTATCCTTTTTTTCAGGGTACTGAATTTTTACTTAATATACTTAAAGTTATTTCATTAAAATACAATGTAAATTAAAGATAAGTTGGTTGTTAGTTGACGTAGAGTATGTTCATAGACCGCGGCCAGGGTTAATCCAATTATTTGCAGTGCTTTTGAATCAGATATAAATTATTACGCTACGTCTATTCGAAACTGAATTAGGTATGCTTTGAACTTTGACTATCTAAAGTTATCATACCATTACTAGTTTCAGTTTAAAATAGCCTTTGAACTCAAAGGTATGACATTGTATAATTTAGGTTGAATACGAAAATGAAGTTCCGTTTCAATTTCCATAAGTACATCGCCGATGGGCTCATCAAATTCAATTGTGGAACTATAATCAAGCGTATAGTAACGTTGTTAATTTTTGGATAAGCTTTTGCTGTCTAATATTTGACCAATGATTTAAATATTGACTTATAAACTGCTGCATCTTTTCAAATAAAAGTTCTGTGAGGCGGTGAAATATTGGTGTAATTTACAAATGGAACTTCCATTTCAATTTCCATAAGTATATCGCCGATGGGCTCATCAAATTCAATTATGGGACTGTACTGAAAAGTATAGTAATGTTTTAAATTTTTGGATAAGCTTTTGCTGTCTAATATTAGACCAATGATTTAAAAATTGACTTATAAACTGCAGTATCTTTTCAAATAAAAGCCCTGTGACTCGGCACGATATTGGTATAATTTACAAATACATGTTTCCATTCTAGTAAGACTCCTACGTGTGATTTTGCCAATTTTTTAAGAAATATTTTATGTGTCGAACAAGGCAGATCTGAGGTTACTAACTCTTCTTGAAGAGTGCTAAATTAACTGAATGACTGATTATAAAGTAATGTCAGTCGACCTTTCACGGGACTAATTCCTCCCACACGAACACCACTTAAACTCCTGTATATCAGTATTAACAGCAGTAACTCCCGAATACACCGAGTTATGGCAGTCCCAGGAAAATTAAACTATCCTAGAACTTGCAACGAAATGAATCAGAAGAAAATTATTAGAGAATTATTAGATTAGATGTAAATATAAAAAATGCACTTCCTTCCTCAGAAAAACGCTAGACGAAATGAAGTACAAAAAGACATACACCCTTGTAAACAAGGAAGCAACATGGCCACAAAAGTGGGCTTAACGAGTATTTGATTTCTATAATATGTATGGTAGAATCGACTAAACCTTTAGACATTCACCCTAGTTCACAAAAGATCATCATACGAGTAGTATACCGCCCCTGATGTCACTTGTAAGCTATTCAGAATTAAATAACGTTCATTGTAACAAAGACTACATTCCCATAGGATATAATGAGCAGAATGTTCTCGGTTAGAGTCGGGTGTTGAGCATTGACACAATGGTGACTCGAATAATTTAAATCAATGCATTTTGTCCTTATAGTTACCATGACCTGTAAGAAATTGATCAACACAGTGATCCACTTCAAGCTATGTCCTCGACAACCGTTCGCGAACAGATCGAAAGAACTGATAACTCCTTAGATGATTCGTCCCGGCGTTCGCGTTCGTCTAACTTAGTCGACCTATCTTTTGGGTTCAATCGTCACTTTAATGTGAAGGATCTGAACGCGTTTTGTTTATTTATTTTTCTGTCAAATAACCATATATAAAGTCAAGAACTATTTTTACAAATTGCATTCATCTCGCTACCTTCTTTCGTATCTATATTGACAGGGCCAAACATCTAAACTTTACAATAGTCGGGTCCTTTTAAGATTTACGCTACGCTACATGAAAGTCCAAAGTTAAATTTGCACTTATACTCTCCTAGCTCGTCTCCCAATTTTTGATTTCTAAGTAATCTCTTTAAAATCCAACTAGATAAATTTATGAGACTTCAATTTTTTTCTACAAGATTCATGTATGTTTTGTGAAAATATCTTTCTTATTTCCAAATATACTCAAAATTTTAGTGGCTTTCATTCCGGAGTACTTATATCCTCTTTAAGCTTTACAACATCTTATTCGACCCAAAAGCCCCTTTTTATATCAAAGAACCGTTCACGTTCCTTCATGCCACACATGAATAATGTCTAAGATTATCTGAAGATCTGATTTTGAGTTTTTTCTGATTTCACAATATGACGAAAATTCGTCTTAATTTTAAATTATAATCATTAATTTTGTCTATACACATTTTGCGGTAGTGGACATTTTGATGGCCTGTTATCTATAAACAAAACCTTTTATCTATAAACAAAGACCACAGTGCGTGTCGGGCCACGCGCAAAGTAGTTTATTACTACCCGCGTTAAAGAAGTAACATCTTCATCTAAGTAATTTTTTTCTAAGGATTTTGCTTTGTATACTAAATTAGCCAAGCAGGAAGTTACTTGCGAAATTTTATGTCACAAATTAGGCAACTACTAATCTTAAACTGAAAGAGCTAGCTTAGCTGTAGTACTATCTACGTAAACGATTTCCTTCTAAATCGTCGTTATATATACTACTTGTAGAGAGACGGGGGCCTTACTGTTTTAATGACTTCTGTATTGTAAGAACTACGGAACCTAAACAAGTGCTTGCTGTTTTGAGGTATATAATTCAAATAATATTTTGGGAAAATATTACCTTCTTACCTAAACCTATTTCCAGCGAACTAAACTTATTATATAGTAAAAAGTTTAGTGCGCTGGAATTCTAGGTTCTAGGACATGGATACACACATGCTAAATAATAAATTTTAAGAACTAATCTAATAAATTTTATACAAAATGGCATTTTTTTACACAGGCCACCCACGCAAAAAGAGATATTCAGGCATTTAAATTGCCCTCACCTCCAAGAAAACTGTTCTATACTACAGTTGTCAAAAAGGTTATATCTAATACTATATCATGTAGTAGTACTATGTATTATCGTATATAATTGTATATATATAAACACGTGCCAAAATAACCAATAGAAGTATATTTCGTAATAAGAAGGCTACAGCTACAAATTTATGAGTATATGAATAAAAGCGAAGGCGCTTCTAAACATCAATTACTTTTTTCGCTTTTACTGCTTTTATACGCTTATGATAACGTCATATCGAAATGATACGGTAAGAAATAGACGGCAATTTTCTGATGCCTACTTGTTTATATTAAGTGTTTTTTATTCTCGTTTATGAAAATATGCACTCGAATTTGATTGCTGTTTGTGTTGCGATGAAATGCTATTTATGTGATATATTAACATACGACGTAAGTGGTTGTAACTACTGAGCCAGGGATCGCAAATTTGATTCTCACCCAGGACTAATTAAGTAATTAAATATCTGTTTTTCTTACTGTGTGATATGTAAGATGTTTTTTTTTGTGTCAGTGTATAATTTATCTATAAAATATATAAATTTGGTAAAATGAAAGTCGATTTATCAGCCGTTTGGTTAATATAGTACAGGCTCTGCCTATTTTAGGATAAGAAGGCCTTGTGTGATGTATCACAATGTCAAGCAATTTTTTAAAATACTTAATATTTAATACACATATTGCTAAATTAAAACCTCTTCAGACCAATTTGGATGTACATGTATCTTCTTCACGTATATAGTTCAATAAAATATTAACCTCGTTGATAAAAAAAAATACTCAACGTGTGCAGTAGCTACTTTAGTTGTTAAAAACAAAAAATCTAACGTAAAAAGTATGAAAGATTTAACTAAAAGTATCTTTACCAATGTTTAAGCATTTTACACGCTTGATTTTTGTCAACTAGGCAGCTATACCTAAACAATGTTACATTTAAAATGAAATTAGGGGAGAGGAGTTAAAATTTGTGTAACGGCAGCATGCGTACGCTAGTCATAACTTAAATACTAAGCACCTCGAAGCATATGTACATAGTTTCGAAATCAGATTAAAATAGGTTTGTAGCAGTAAACTTTGCTCTTTTTTGTAACTAAATTCTTCACAGCGTAAAACTAGCGTCTTAGTATATGGCTATCTCCTAAGGAGAACCCACAGTCATCATTTTTATCACCACACATATCTTTTAAACACCACATTAGTGCCGATTGCATATCTATTCATTGCACCCGTGCGAAACCGGGGCTTCTATATATGTAGTATATAAAGTAACAATTGTTTAATTATTTCTAACTAATATTGTTTCACAAACATTTTAGATTATTCTTTCTTAACAAGATCGCTGATCTACTTATGCCAGTGTATGGCGGGCTTTTGGTAAAAATACAGTAGAAAATTAAAAAAAAAATCCTTTTATAATCTCTGTAAAGTCTACAATATTTAATCCCTCATTTATGACTTGGATAAATAGCCTAAATATCAAAATTTTATTAATTGTGGAGTTTAAGGCTTCGTTGATGTCGTGTGACTTAACATCTCTTCATAATTTTGTGTGCTGATTTGGGGAAACGATTGTGTGAGGTTATGTAGAAAGACAATATTTCAACAGAATGTCACCTTCAATAACAAAATTACATCCGCTTTCTTAGATTTCAGCGTTACTTTAGTACTCGCTTAGTTTTTGATCTTGTACCGAATGACTGTCTGAGATAGGTACCTTACCTCTTTCAGTCTATCACTCGGAACGAGTAGAAGAGGCTTTCCGATAGTAAGCGCTAGGTTATCGTACCCTAAACAGTATTTTAACTAGCACAAAATATTAAAATGCACAACCATTTTAATGTGTTAATCATGCTATTAATATTCAAAACTATTATATTAATGGTTAGCACGCAACAGTAAAATGGTACGCGAAATACTCTTTAAAGCATAATTCTATTTTGTTTCTTTATAGTCTGTTTACTTCCTGCCCAATTCCATCAAGCCTTAATTATTCATGACTAAGTAATTAAATATAATGAAATATTTTCTTTGACTTTACATCAAAGAACAGTT